GAGGTTGGGATAAGCGGGTGGGGGGTGGAAGGGGAGTCTGTCATACACACCATTAACCAAAGAAAACCCAAATCGTTTCGTTTAGACAAAAAGCACCAAATTTTTACGAAAACACAATGCATGTCCCTTTCTAATCAATACCATATCGTCCACTCTGGTAATATTACACATTAACATCCTTTTAAATAACAGATGGTCATTTCAGAGGTGGGGGTCCGCCACATTCAAAATCCATTTGAAATATACGACTCCGGCAAGTGAGAAAAAGAGCCTTGACATCTATCCATAAAAACAATACCAAAAAAATCCTCCAATGGGGATTCAAACCACTGCCACCCCTCTCCATGGTCCAGCATGACCCACATCCCATCCCGCTTTCTCAACTCTGAAAATAAAAACTAAGGATTCTCGTTGAAAATGCAAATGAGCAAAAATACATTGGCCTGAGAAAATAAAACAGGGTCAACCTGTGGAGAACATGAGCTAGCCGAGGCACACCATGAGGCGGTTCTATGTCAGCATTTGAACAGTTTCACGACAAAACACCACAAACGTCATTTTTTGCAGTTATGTCCAAGATTAGCCCCACCGTATATTTTGATAGACTGGAAAGATAGGGCACATTTCTTCTTTTTTTTTTTCACAAGACGCAATTATGACTTTTTCAATCAAATAAGTAGGTGATTTTTTTAGTGGGCACAAAACGTGACAAAAGCTGCACTTCTTTATTGACAAATTGCGACATTTCCTCTGTATGCCAATCGAGTTCTTTCCTCAAGTTACAAAATTTCACTTATGGTCAACGAAAGCTTGTTGGCATGTCTTTCTGTTCCTAGTTATTGCAAGTCAATTTAATAATGCCTCAATGTTTCTAATATCTCAAAGATGCCCCTTTTACTGAATTTCAGGCATATAGACATGGTATTATGGTTTGAGTCTGATCAAAATTAAGAAGCAGCTATTCAGACAAATATACAGATTGTGAAAAAACTAATTTGGTGTATATTTAACTTACTTATATAATATAACAAAAATCAACTGTGCGGTTAGTTACCCTTTTAATGAATGTTTTAGGAGTACTGGCATCATCAATCATCTTCAAGTTAGACTCATTATTCCAAACAGGACTTGTCTCCTTTTGCAAAAAATCAATGTGAATTGTCACGTTTTGTCAAAAATCATGTACGGAGATCTTAATTCAAAGGATAAGAATCCACCATACATTTCATCATACATCAAATAGGAACCAAACCTAAAATCGTGTTTACTCTAACAACAAATTTGTTCCAATGTACTTATTGAAAAGGCGAAGAACAGAAATCTTGATTTTTCTTAAAACCGTAGATATGGACATGTCGTGTTTTGTCGTGAAACTGTCCATTTTACATCCCCATTGACGTAATTTAGATCAGGAAGGTACACAGACTGCTTCAACCCCCATCTATCAGGGCTACCGTGGGCTGGGTGGACTACAGCAGGCCGGTAGAGGGAGATACAGAACTGAAAACTTTCCCACATGGGAATCCAACTCAAGCCCTCACTCAGTTCTGTAACAGGGAAGAGCCTAATCCTTGCACCACGTTTGGCGATAGATCAGCCTGGGGAGATGGTGCAAGCCTCAGCAAGCGAGGAAAACTCCTGACAGACACCAGCCAACATTTCAGCAACACCTCTCTACACAACGGAAGGTGGGGGAACACCTCTCTACACCACGGAAGGTGGGGGGTGGTGCTTGTAAGTACTGGATCAAAGACCACGGAACAAAATGACCTCAAGAGCAGCAAATCAGAAAATACCAGAATCAAACAAGAGGAAACTGGAATGATGAAAAGCCTGCAATAGCCCAAGAACCCCACAGCCAGCCCAGCAATCAAAAGCCCATGAATCCCAAAGGCGTCTCACCACAAATGTCAGCACCCTGCTTTTCCACAACGAAAAAGAAAAAAGAAAAGCAATTTTGTTCCCACCAGAGCTGAGCGCTCGTCTCATCTCCGGGATCGGAACAGTTCAACAAAACACACGAGGCATACTGACACTTCACTCCAACCCAACTCCCCAACCCCCCGCCCAACCCCCCTCCCTCCCGGATTATTACAGCAGCAACTAAGTCCAAACCTGCTCCATCACACTCTCTTTCACTTTCAATCACACCACGCTCTCTCCGTGTGTCCCTTTCTCCCCCACAAACAGAAAGTCTCTCTCTCTCTCTCTCTCTCTGTGTACTTCTCTCTGTCTCTCTCTCTCTCTCTCTCAGTCTCTCTCTCTCTGTACTTCTCTCTGTCTCTCTCTCTGTACTTCTCTGTCTCTCTCTCTGTACTTCTCTCTGTCTCTCTCTCTCTCAGTATTTCTCTCTGTCTCTGTATTTCTCTCTCTGTCTCTTTCTCTCTCTCTCTCTAGCTAGCGGTCGTCACTCGCTTACAGCTCAACACACTGAGTGACAACAACTTCACTTGAAACAATAGAACTGACAACATTAAAACAAAAGTCAACTAAACAAAAGGAGCCGTGATGACACAATATGACACGATGTGTCCAAACGGTGTGTGTAGTGATGATGACATGAGATGTGTCATGATGATATAAAGCGAGATAGTGTGTCATGTGTCATGATAACACTAGATGAGAGGTGTACTAATGACACACGATGACACACTAGGACAGGTGTGATGATGACAGGTGCGTAGCAATGAGGACACAAGTGTATCGATGACGACACAAAATAACGGATGAGCTGATGATGATGATGATGATGATGATGATGACGATGATGACACAAAAGTGGAGATGATGGATGACACATGAAGACGTGCAGTACTCATTATGGGAAAGTACACATTATAGCAAAGTCAACAAAATATGTTCTAATAAAACATTTTCTCCATCAACAATAACGACTTTAGCAACACATCTGGAGGGGATTTGGGGGGGAAGGGGTGGGAGGGATGTGAGAGGAGAAGGGAGTATGGCCACACATGGATCAGTGTTCTCCCTGCTAGTCTCAGGCCACAAAACCGGGCCACATGGGCTGATTGTCTTCAAGACAGTAGTCATTCATGGGTCACCAGCAGCCCTCATATTGGGGAGGGAAAAAAAAACAAGAAAAAAACCCCCACATCCACGGCTGGACTGGACTGGGCTGGGCTGGAAAAAACAGCTGGATGAAACGTGGATCCAGAAGGCCAACATTCTCTCCCCCTATGATGAGCAGTGGCGATCACCGGCACTGGGGGGCACACGACAGACGGACCTGGCTGCGCTCGCACTCGCTTAGAAGAGGCGAGGGTATTGTTTTGAGATGGGTGGGGAAGGGGGGGAGGGGGGAAGGGTGTTTGGAGGGCAGGCATATGACAGCAGAGCTCTTGCCGGGCAAACAGACACCAACTACTGCCACTACTTTTCTTCTTCCTCCTCCTCCATTCCTCCCCCCCCCCTTTTTCCACCTCCCCTATAAGTATGTACGTGACTGTCTTTGTGATCACAAGAGGGCACAGCTGCTGAGCGACCATCACGAGACAGAAGCTGAGAGATAAGTGACCACAGGAGGGTGGAGGGTACGGACGAACACATGGATCCATCAACACTCTGTTCTCATCCACAGTCAGTCTATCCATCTATATATATCTTTCTGGCAGCGATGCTTCTTCTGTAGTCTGTGAGGGTTGCTTGGGGAAGGGTAGGGTAGGGTGGGGTGTGGTGTTGTATCTGTTGACAGGCCAGCACAGCCAGTCAGTCCGTGTGTCTCTGTGTCTGTGTGTGTGTCCCCTGCAGGTGTCCCGAGCGCCCGGCCTCCGTTGTCAACCCGCCGTTGTATGGTGTTGCGCTCAGATCTGAAGCGGCGAGATCACAGCCTCTATTGCCTGCACGTCGCCAACACACAGGGGGAGGGGGTGGGGGGAGGGAGAAAAATTTAGATTAGCTATGTTTAGTTTTAGTATGAGTTTTATGGCACTCGCAACACAAATAGGTATCTATTATAATTGCCACAGGTTAGACGTGTTTCTGCTAGAGAGTTACATACAAAAGAAAAGACAGAGGAGAGATGGACTGTAGATGTTTGATTGGAAAGAAAGTGTGTTGTGTATGTGTTTGTGTGCCGGTACATATGGTCGCTTTTAAGCACAAGGAGGCTATCCCGAAAAATGCAGTTTTGAGAAAATTGAATATGAAGTTTTTGCTCCTTGTTCAGTTTCTTTAAAAGACAAGGAGAGTTTTCCCTATAACCAAACAAATATACACACCAATGAAACCAAACTTCTCCTATAGATAGGGCAATGCCCACTTTTGATGTAGGTCAAGATTTCTGGAGACTACTGAAATCTGGGTTAGCCTGCTTGTCCTTAAAAGCGACCACATATAAACCAGTGTGCATGTGAATGTCAGCTTGTGTCAGTACATACGGGTGGGAGCATGTATGTTAGAATATGTATGTGCATGCACGCAAGCATGTGGGGAAAAAAAGAGAAAGAGGGAGGGAAAAGGAAAAGGAGAGGGAGAGGGAGGGAGGGAGAGAGAGGGAAGGAGGGAGGGAGAGAGAGAGAGAGCTTAGTTTAAGTAAGAATTCTATGGCGCTCGCAACTGCATAAGGTCACATGTGAGAGAGAGAGTGAGAGAGAGAGAGAGAGAAAGAGAGGGAAAGAGAGAGAGAGAGAGAGAGAGAGAGAGAGAGAGAGAGAGAGAGAGAGAGAGAGAGAGAGAGAGAAAGAGTGGGAAAGAGAGAGAGAGGGAAAGAGAGAGAGAGAGAGAGAGAGAGAGAGAGAGAGAGAGAGAGAGAGAAAGGGAGAGAGAGAGAGAGAGACATGGAGAGACAGAGGGAGAGAGATGGGGAGAGAGAGAAAGAAGGAGAGAGAGATAATATGTGGGCACGTTTGACTGACCTATTGGAGGTGGCGGGCGGTATATATGTCTGCGTAGAGGCCCCTGTGAGGCCAGGGATGAGAGGGGCCACCAGGGTGACAGTTGCGCCGCTGCTCTCCTCCTCTGCCGCCCCTGCTGTAGACTTCTTACCAGAGCCTTTTTTCGATTTCCCTCCAGCTCCATTTACCCTGAGGAGGACAATGGGAGGTTGAAAACTGCACAGACACACCCTCACACACGCACACACACAAATCCACACACCTTCACATATTTACTGACACACCATCACATACACAAATCCACACACCTTCACTTATTTACTGACACACCCTCACATACACAAATCCACACACCTTAAAACAAACACAGACAAACCCTCACAAACAAACACAAATCCATACACCTTCACAAAAGCACAGATACACATCCTCACACCAACACACCCTGACATACCCACATCCACACCGTCACACATCCTCATATAACACACATCCACAAACTGTCTCAAATACAAACACGTTCAAATAAATACATCGAAACACATTCAGATACAAAAATCCACAAACTCTCACATCCACACGTAGACACAGACACACACACCCTCAAATAGTCTCAAATACACAGCCACACATCCACACATAGACACAGACACACACACCCTCACATACAGATAGTCTCAAATACACATCCACACGTAGACACAGACACACACACCCTCACATACAGTCTTAAATACACATCCACACGTAGACACAGACACACACACCCTCACATACAGATACAGTCTCAAATACACATCCACACGTAGACATAGACACACACACCCTCACATACAGTCTCAAATACACATCCACACACCCACACGTAGACACAGACACACTCACCCTCACATGCAGTCTCAAATACACATCCACACGTTGACAGACACACACCCCCTCACATACAGTCTCAAATACACATCCACACATCCACACGTTGACACAGACACACACGCCCTCACATACAGTTTCAAATACACATCCACACATCCACACGTAGACACAGACACACACACCCTCACATGATACAGTCTCAAGTACATATCCACACATCCACACGTAGACACAGACACACTCACCCTCACATACAGTCTCAAATACACAGACACACACACACACACACAGAGCAACACACACACAAACACTAGACAACTGGCGTTGAGGAAGAAGTGCCACTCACTTGGGTCTGGCCTGTCCCTGCGGCCCGTGTGTGGGGCCAGTCAGCTGCAACGAGGGCAGGTGCGGCCGTAGAGCGGGGCCACCTGGGGAGGAGAGACAGCCGTCAGTCAGCGGTCACTAATGAGGTACTGGACAACACCATGGACCAATGGGGTAACAACCCTCTAGCTTCTTCTTCCTTGTTCTCAAGCATCCCTCTAGCAAACCCCTTCCTTCTCCTTGCAAATCATATTACTAACCTCTAGCAAACCCCTTCTTATATCCTTGCAAATCACAACTGAACAGTTGCAATTATAGGTGTACAACAAATAGGCACAGATACCCACATATAAAAATGTGATTTTCATGTCAGTTACCATAAGTTGCCCAAATGCATGCAAATAAACAAAGCAACAACCCCCCCCCCCCGTATTTTTCATTTACTTTATGATACATTGCACAGACGTGGAAGGAAACGGAAGATTTTTTTGTCAAGCAAAAAGAAAAAAAAGAAATCCAATTTTTGGTGGAGTACTCGCCTAAGTGTGTAGATTTCACAGGTTAGGGACAATACAAACAACAAAAGAGCAGCATCTGTCAAACACACATTTCCTAAAGAACATAATTCTGCACACACAAAGGAAGATGAGAAAACTGGTTGTACATGGTGGTGGACAAATCAGAAACTCTACACACACATGTAATTTTTGTTATTATTTTAAAAAGTTCTAGTAAGAGTTTTTCGGCACTTGCAAAACAATCAGATCATAAAAGTGCTGCAGAAAAGGTGGCTGTTGTTAAAGTGTAACACACAAACAAAATGAGGAGGGGGAGAGATAAAGATGATAGCTGTCTTAAGTTTGCTTGAGGAAAAAAAAGCATCTGGACACAAAAACAACTATCATGTGCAAGAAAAAAGTGAGGTTGGCAGAAAAGGATACTGCAAAAACAATATCAGCACACAACGTAAGAAAAAAACCATATAAAGAAACATTGTACATACAGTAGAAGGAGACAGGAAACAAAGTGTACCTTGCAGTAGATGAAACCATGACGTGCCAACTGACTATGAAAAAGCATCATGAATTTTCTAACCCCATTTAGTTTTAGTAAGAGTTTTACGGCATTTGCAACACAATAAGGTCATATACGTGCCAAAGATTAGAGGTGTTACAGGAGAGTAACAAACACAAAAAAGAAGGAGGGGCGATAAAGACAGGACATTTGATAGGAGAGAAGAAGCAAACCACATCAGAGCACCCGTCAACCACCCACATTTTTCTGACCCCACAGAAATGTAGGCACAGGGACTTGAAACCTATGGATCGTGTTGCCTAAAGCACCTTGAATCAAGACTACTTTTTAAAATTAAGAGCAATATAACATGCAAAGCGAGATATAACATTTTAAAAAAGGTGTAGAAGTAGGATTACATAACAAAATGCTGATTATTTCAGAAATCCGGATTTTCAGATTTATTTTTATTTACCCAGAAAATTGGCACCACAAATGAGACAAACTCCACACACACACACACACACACACACACACACACACACACACACACACAATAAGACGAAGAAAAGAACCAGCTTACCTAACACACACACACATGAAGACTGAGAAAAGAACCAGCTTACCTTGCAGTGGTGTGAAGGGCCTATGATAGATGTAGGGCTGCCCCTGGAAATTCTGCGTAGTCCCCAGCTGTATAAGCGTGCGCTGTGGGAAGCCGGCTGTGGGCACTGCCACCAGCTGAGATCCTGCCTGGGGCGGGGTGGGGGGTGGGCCTACATAGTTTATTGTAACTTGTTGTTGTGGCTGAGGAGGGGAGGCCGGGCGGTAGTGCGGGTGGAGCGTGGCCCACGACTTCACGGAGGGGGAGGAGGAGGGGGCTGGGGCCGGGGGGTGGGGGAAAGTCACGGTGGGGCCAGCCGCCGGGTTGTGGAGCAAGCCGTAGATATGTGGGCCACCCGCTGGCACGGAGGCCTGGTGGTGCTGGGGGAGGTGGGGATGGTGGTGGTGGTGGTGCGGATGGTGGGCCGCAGGCACACCGTGGGACGGGACTTGGTGGTGGTGCTGCTGCTGTTGTTGTTGTTGCTGCTGCTGCTGATGCTGTTGCTGCTGTTGTTGTTGTTGCTGGTGATGCGGCGCGCCTTGGTGTGAATGATGCTGGTGAGTTACAGCGACCGGTGGCATGGGCGGAGGCTGGTTCAACAGCGGGGGAGGTGTGGGGGTGGAGGGGGGAATAGCATAGTATGTAGTTGGTGTGGAACTAACCACAGGGGCATAGGCTTGAGGCCCCGGGCCCGGGTGATGCGTGAACTGTCCAGCGGTCAAGCCCGGCGCGGGGTAGGCCTGGGCCAGGCTATAGCCGTGCATTAAGGGACCCGCGCCGTTCAGGGCCATTGTCTCGGGGGCCAGCTGGCCGTAAGCTGCGCCGGCCAACACCTCCTCCTGGGGGCCAGCCGCCACCATGTGATGCTGGTACGGCTGAGGAGCAGAGAACAGCTGCACGGGCGCGTACGCCTGGACGGCCGGCATGGGCACCGTAGTCTGTCCCTGGCTGTCCACTGGGGCCGCCGCCCCTCCCTGGGGGTTGATGGCCACTATCCGGACTGCGTGTTGGGGGGCCGGGGACGTGCTCAGGTATTGGCCCTGGGGAGAGGGATTTGTTTTAGTTTAGTTTTAGTAAGAGTTTTACGGCACTTGCAACACAATAAGGTCATATAAGTGCCAAAGATTAGAGGTGTCACAAGAGAGTAACAAACACAAAATAGAAGGAGGAGGAGAGATCAGGACGATAGACGTTTGATAGAAAAGAAGAAGCAAACCACACCAGAGCACCCGTCAACCACCCACAGGGTTTGTTTGAGTAAAAAAAAAAAAAAAAAGAACATCGACACAATAATGGTTATTTAATGCTAAGACAAAGTAAGTTGTTTCAATAGAGTTTTTATGGTGCTCGCAACAGCATAAGGTCATATGAGCGCCAGAAGATTAAAGGAGTTACAAGAGAGTAACAAACATAAAAAAGAAGAAGGGGGAGATAAGGACGATAGATGTTTCACAGGAAAGAAGAAGCAAACCACATCAGAGCACCCGCCAACCACCCACTAGGACAAAGTAAGATAGACAGACAGAAACAACAGAGGGGAAGTAAAGAAGTGAGGACAAGGGGGACAAATATCGCATCAAGTCAACAAACTGATGAAAGAACACGCAGACAGCGACAACAGGGATGAAAGAACACGCAGACAGCGACAACAGGGATGAAAAAACATGTAGACAGTGACAACAGGGATGAAAAAACATGTAGAGAGCGACAACAGGGATGAAAAAAACTTGTAGAGAGTGACAACAGTGATGAAAAAAACATGTAGACAGTGACAACAGTGATGAAAAAAACATGTAGACAGTGACAACAGAGATAATTTGACCTCTGAAACCAAGTGACCCCCACCTCCTTCAATCCCAAATATCTCAGCTTCTATACAAGATAAAAGAGTAGTTTTGTCATCGAAAGTAGGACAAGTGAACAGGCTTAAAGATGATACCATAACTCCATATGCCCAAAAATTGACAAGCGCCAGATTTCATCATGTCATGACACACATTTGCTTTGTTCTCATTAATATATATCTGCGATCTGTGTCTTGAAAGTTCATAATTTTTCTACAACACTTGAAAAGAGAAAATATGTATTTTCCTCCACAAAAACAGGACTTCAAAATTCAGACCCCTAAACTATATTGAATACATGTATTATGTACAGGTCGGTAGATATGGGACTGTAAACAGGGATGCCAAATGATTTTTGAAAAAAAAACCTGAAAATGAGCGGAGCATCACATCTCACCTAAACCGAACCTCGTAAATCTTTTAAATGAGCAAACAAAAACATTCTCTCTTACCTCCCCTTTCCTTTGCAAGTGAAAAAAAGCGGAAAAAACGGAAAAACTGGACATTTGGCATCCCTGTGTAAAGGCCAAAAGAAATACTCACAAAACTGCGTAAACCATTTCGAGAACAAAACGTGTCATCCCACCAAATTTTAACACCCCCCCCCCCCCCCACAGCAACAGCTTTCCCAAAATGTTCGAAATGGTACACACATTCTGAAGAAAAACAGAGATCGATTTTGGGCTGATTAGCGCCAATGTTGACAACTAATAGAAAAAAAGAAATAACATGGGACCAGAACACTAATACTATATTCACCAACGTATATATAATATGTGAGTTAGGTGCATAGACCTAGACACCCAGAAATTTTAAGAACGTGTAGGCATAGACTCGTGGAGCTCTTCACCCCCCCCTCCCCCCCACCAAACACAC